AAGAGTGCCCTTCAGAGATCCTCTTCGTAGAGCATATCAATTCTTTTGTTTCATCTGTTGCAGTTTTTAGGCACAGCAGAGCAAATTTAGCAGAGTTTTGGTATCTGCATTAGACACAGCATCTTGATAATGTTCCTGTTGAAGGGCTCTGCAGTGATTCAGTGCTAAATATGTAGTGAGCCTATAGGTCTGGAGAGACTCATTTCTTTCTGGTCCCATATGTTATCTTTAATCAGGGAGCATGGAGGAAACCATTTGAACTGAGATGCCTTCAGATATAATTTGAGCAAATAAAGAAGTTGAGTCCTTACTAGACAGTTTTATGAACTGCAAGGGAGGATCCAATTGTGGTTTTGCCTACAAACATTTTTATGTGTTGAGTTACAGTTTTTAATTGCTCACAACTGTAAGTGATTTTATGTCAGCCATGTGATCTGTGTGAGCATTCAAAATTGAATTATCATTACAAGTTTTCCATGTATTTTTACTTCTTCCCCCTCCTCAAAAAAGCTGAGAAGAAAGGAGCACTGGTCTTGAGCAAGTTAAGGGATCTCTCTTCCTTCAGTAGACAAAAATGAAGAGTCTAAGCCAGTGATCTGGCTGACATCTCCTACCAAAAACTTCCCAGATGATCCAACTGCTAGCATCAAACCAGCCAGGATTGTTGCTGCCCAGTGCCACCAAAACCAGACAGTACTGCTCTTATTCAGAGGCACCAAGCAGCCCTGTGCTACATCATGTACCAAGTGCAGTGCTCCTGGTCCTAACCCTGGAGAACCAACCTGAATGGTACCTGTCTGGCTGGACACGGGAATGAAACAACCAACCAACTGCAGAACCAACTGGGCACACGTGTAGACCAGAGTGCCCCCACAAGCATTGACAAAGCTGCAAATATTCTTTCAAAGGTGTATCCATCTAAAAGTCTACAGAAGAAGTGGTGGGAGTGCAGCTTACACCCTCACCCATCGTTTCTTCCTGAAGGATGATAGCCCAATGTTGGTTCTGGCAAAGCCATTTTAGTCCTATTGTAATCATTTCTCACAACTTACTTCTGCAAGAGCATTGCCTGAAAGTCACCACAAGCCAAATACTCTGTGAACAATTATCCCAAGAAGATGTTAATGACTGTGGAGCCACTCCAGCTTTTTAAAATGTTTTGCCTGTACTGATACCATAAATCCACTTTCCTCTTCTCTTATTATGGAGCCCTTTGGATTCTGGATTCTGTGTTAATGAAGGTCCTGAAGAGCTGCCATGGCTTATTCCTCAAGCTGCTGTCACGTACAGATGAACACATGAGATGGAGGCACATTCAAAACGACTCTGCTGACAAGGAAGTTAGGTATTTCATGGTCTAGTTTTTTTTTTAATTCTGATTATCAGTCTGGAAGAAGAGCCACGAAAATGCTCCAACACTTTTGGTCTTTGTAGTGGATTTTGTGGCTTCCTATTGACAACATTTGTTGCCTGTACATTTTTGCACTTTGGCCAAAGCAAGACTGTTTTTATGACTTTACTTCCCAATGTGTTGAAAGCATTTGTTGCCCTATTATTTATTGCACAGCACTTAAATAACTTTATATACTCAACGTGTCCTAACACAGAGTACACAAATGGCTTCTCCCTCAATGTAACTTTTGAAGTACAGTTTGTGACCTGTTGTAACTCTCTAATTTTGTAAGGAAGAACAACTATTAATAAGATTCTGGACAGAATTATAAAATGTATTAATATTTTAAATTGCCACAGGACCAGGAACATAAACCCTAGGGTGATTGAGATCCAAATACAAACCTTATTCTAAAAAGCTAAAAAGAAAGTAGTGAAAGTTTGAAGGTTTTTGTTATGGGGGAAGGACTTCAGAGGCCTTTAGAGATCTGTGTGCTCATTTGTATGGGTTATATTTCTGACACCTCTCAATGTGGGATTTAAAGCAGATTTTTTTTCATTTCAGAGGAAAGATAAACTATTTGGCAGTAAATCTGCTCTTTGGATAGATAAAAATGCTTACAAAAACTTGACAATTGCTTGTAAGAGGAACTGTATTAGAAAGTTATTTTTCTGCTTTAATTTCTAGTAAATTTATAGCTTGAGCAGTTTAGGAAGCATTCCTGGCCAATTATTCATTTGCAAATAACAACTTTTTTTTCAGTCTTTTGATCATACTTCCAGTTTTAAACTGAAGATAAGCCTTGAGATGATTATGCTTTTCATTTCGTTAGACTCTGTCTTTTTCAACCTGGCATAAATTTTGCACAGACTTTAATCTGAACATTTATACTATCAAATGTTCCTTTCACTTAAATGGCAGAGTGATGTATTCCACTGAAGTAAGGATAGATGTTCTCTAGTTCAAAATGCAGCCAGCAGTGGCATATACCTGCACTTTAAGAAAGCTTTTGGAGTACCTGAGTGGCCTGTTATTATTCATAGCATTATTTTTTAAAAATAGAAACAGTGCAGATTTTTGCTTAAAGTATTTACTTGTTGAGTAGTTTATTGTTCAAAAGTATATTTATTTAAACATTATGGATTTAAAAAAAAAAAATCCAGTAGAATAGTATTGTAGTGACTGATGTAGAATTTCTTTTCTGCTTTGGTCAAATCCGCTCCCTGTGAGGAGGTCACCAAGAAGCTGGAGTCAGGCTCCTTGCTGAGGAGGCACAGTGGGAGGATGTAAGAAATGGTCCTAAAGTGAAACAGGGCATTATAGCTGAATATAAGGAAAACAATTTTAATTGTAACTAAGCACCAGAGACTCTGCTCTGGGAGGCTTTCTACACCCAGCTGGAGAAAGCCCCAAGTCACCTTGCCTGCAGCCAGTAGGACCAGGAGTGGGGACCAGATCCTGTTCTACATGCCCCTTGCTTGCTCACATTCTCCATGTGTTGTCCCACCTTCATCCAGCTGTTATTGAAGCTGTCTCTAGTGAAATCTTGCTGCTCTGTGAAAGCTGGCCTCAGGACATGGTCTGAGACCAAATTTGATATATTATTCTTCAGATACTGAACTTCTTTACCCTGACATGAGGGGGAAGAGATCAGCAGCACAAGTGGAGACAACCTGAAATGTGTGTAAAAATATCATAGATGTGTTGGGAGGGAATGGCAAGGAAGATAGAGGCTGAGCCTTTCCTTTAAGCAAAAGGACAGATTTTACTGGTGGACATGACTGGAAGAGACATCATCATTCCTCCAGATGCCACTTTTACAGCAGAAATGATAATGAAAACCAACTCATACTTACTACCTAATTCCAAGGTAAAACTAGTAACTAAAATAAAGGTAAGAGTAGTCCCTAAACCAGCTCTGCTCATTTAAATGTAGCTTAAGAATGTTTTGCCATACCGGTTCTTACAGCATCCCTATTCTTGCCTATTAAAACATTCCTATTCCTGAAGCATTTCCCATTAGTGCCCATGCAGCAATAATCTGTTACAAAGGGTCCCATTTGAGACCAGGTAAAGAAAAAAAATCTTAAAATCTTGTGAGCTCAATTTAAATGTTATGTGGTGGTGACCAAATGGGAAAAGTCCTTTTAAATAAATTTGTTCTTTTTCTAAATAGATAACTAGCCAAATGCATTTCAAATGTTTGTTGGAGTGATCAAATATTGGTTTATGTTTAGAAAACAAATTAACCTAATGTTTGAAGAATTAGACATTTGTACCTGAACACTTTTCAGTGTCACTACTCCTGCACCAATGATCCCAAGTACTTGTGTCAAACTAAATGACCCTTCTGATGAAAATTAGTATCATATACCTGCATGTAACATTTAAATGAGAACATAAAGTTGCAAGATGGAACACTTTTACAGCACAGTTGAATAAAATTACTAAGATAGCTTATTTAATGTTTTTCCCCTTATTTTTTAAAGACAACTATAGAAGTTCTTATGTATTTCCTTTTACCCTTTTGCTTATGAGAAAGCTGTGCCAGTGTGTCAAATTTATTTCTTCTGCTGTAGATACACTGATTCACTGGGTTAGTTCTATATTAGCTACATCTTTTTGGCAAAAAGATAACTTGATAGCTGACCATCAATTTGATTTTGAGATAAAGACATTTGTAAGTGGGTGGATTCAGAAGTCAGAGTAGTCTTCTGTCCTGACACTAAATAAAAATAGTCCCAGATGGAAAATCTCCATTATTTATTTTTTTTTAGGGGTGTTTGGTTTACATGTCTGATTATCTTCTGTCTCAATGGCTGGGCCTCAAGATCCTGGGAGTATTGAAACCTTTAGTATTAGAGTTGATATTATTGAAGTAAAAGCTGTGAGCTCCTTTTTTGTGCTGTTGGTGTGAGATTTTCTACAAAGTGATGAATAACATAAGTGTACTCAGAGACACACAGGCATGTAAAATACATTTTTCCTTACTTTTTCTGACTAAAAGTTTTAAGTAGACCAAATTAAATATTTTGCAGTAAGATTTCAAATTCTCAGTTCATACTTAGGAGTGCTGTGCTCTGTTCTCTGGTTGTGTAGGGCATCACAGTGAGTATCCACTGTGAGTTTGCAAACATTATTGGATGTTCTGTTTACATAATCATGAGCTTTTATAAAAGGTTGCTGGAGTTTAACTTTCAACAGGGTCCTGCCACTTGCCTCGTGTAATTGCTGAGCTGAATGATGTCCTCAGGCATGGTGCAACTCCAAGGAGAAGTGCAAAGGGTAGGACAGAGGATAGCAAATGCATCCTGTTCTCCTCTCTCTGCAAATGCTCACCTTCTGTGTAGAAGGAAAATGGTTTCTTGGATTCCCAGTAGACTGATTCTTGCTTGACACTTTTTAAAATAATACAGACATGAAGCACACATTATTGGTAATCTTGGGTTAGATCACAAATTGCAATTAATACATTTTAAAATTCCACTTTGTTGTTGTTTGCTTTCTGGGTGGCTTAATTTTGAGAAACAGTGACTGCCTTCTGGGTGATGTTCTCAGGGTCTGTACTCAACATTCAGCATCCATGTCTGAGCAAAGAGCAGGGAGAGGTGCCTCTGCTCCCTTTGGAGGTGTCTCTCTTTACCTGCTCTGTCCTATGCTTTGTTTGGGGAGATGCCATTTTTACTCTTGAGCATCTCTCTAAACACAGAACAGCTCTTCCAGTCATATTACTAATGTGGTCAAAGGTTTCATGTCCTCCTCTTTTCTCAGGTGTTTACTTTTGCCTTTGTTTCCCTTTCTTCTAGTGCAATGTCCCCTGATGCTGTTTCATGTGGTTTATATCAACCTTTCTCTGCTCCTTGTGTTACCCCATCTGTTCCACAGGTTCCCCATTCTTGCTTTTCAGTGTTCTCCTTTGAACTCACCAGATACTCCTGCTCCTTGTACTTTCAGTTCTCCTGTACCCTCCAGCATATGAACATTAATTCTTCTGACTCCCTTCAGTTTCTTGTTCCTTTTTACTCAAACATTTCCTACTCCCTGCTGTCTCCTTTGTCTAGTTTTTTGCAGCCTCTGACTGAGGTCATTGGAAATGTTGTCCCTAGTCTTGATAAAAGAATCAGACTCTTGGTGACTGACATGCCCTTGTACTTCATGGGAACAGCCTGAGTTCAGGCCCTTGAAAGCAAAAATCATATTTTCTGCCTTTCCTAGTCCTCTACTGTGATTCTGAAATTAGGAAGAAATAAACTGAAAGCCCCAAACCGTGCAGCTCCTAAAAACCAGTAAATACCAGAGCATTTATGATAATTTGAGAACTGACAAGCTGAAGTTCATAATTCCCATTCCTAAAAGGTAGGATCCATACAGTAACATTACATGTTTTACACTTACATTTATTACATTACATATTTTACACATCTTTATTTTCAGGAATGGTGTCTTCAGCCAGAGGCTGCAAAAAATGGGATCCCACGAGCTGCACAACCACTTGCTTCCACCTTTCTCTCACCTCCTCTTTTTTGCTGGCAGAAATATTCACAGTGAATCCCATTAAGGGAGTGATTTGGTTTTGAAGTAAGCTTTGGAGGGGGATGGAGAGGTAATTTTAACCCAGATGAGTTTACAAGACTGCAGAAACACTTGTGCCAACCCAAGGAAGAGGTGGGAGAAAAAAGGGGTGTCTTTTGGCAGCAGTACTAACTCATGCAGGTTTAAAATGTTCCTGAGGTTCTCTTATTCAGAAGTATTTGGTTGTGTAATCTTCCACTGTAAGCAAAATATATTACATCTAAGTTATAAGCATATTGCTTGTATTGCTGCAGTCACTCTGTCACTATATTTCTTCCAGTAAATGAGTAATTTCTATTATATATAATGTGGATATTCTAACAGAAGGTGTGAAAGGAAGAAATCAGAGTTCTGTGTAATGACATTAAGCTTTAGGTCTATAGACAGCTTAAAGGGACTCACAGCTGCTTAACATGTGCCCTCCGCCTGAACTCATTTTATCACTTGGTATCTACTTCTCTCAACGTATAAAAAGTTGCTGTGATTGATAGTTGGTAACACAATATTTGTCAGGGTGATCTGAATCATTATGTGTATAGATTCAAGAATATAGAAAAAACTGAAAGAACAACAACTAAAAATTCTGACATTTTTTCCATTCATTAAGCTTACTTAAAACATCTTTTGTTTGCTGGAGTTAGTGGTTGCTGGTTTTTCTAAGCAACAATTGCTGAGTGATTTAGAGCACATCTCTGCTCTTTTGTTTGGATTTCATTTGTGAAACCATTTAGAGTTATAAAACTGTCAACTTAACATTCTATATATTTTACCAGTGAGGGCCTCATGTATGCAGAGTTTATATTTTTCTCTCCATTTTGTGTGCTGGTTGAGTTCTCCAGTATGTATTGTTGCTCTTCTTTGGACTGGTCATTAGAATAAGCCCCATGGCCTTTAGAGCAGCAG